ATATATATATATATATATATATATATATATATATCATAATATAATATAATAAAAATATATAATATATTTGCGTTTAGTTTAAAATATAGACCTAGTTTATTACGAAGTTTATCTTACTAAACTAACTACTTCTAACTAACTACTCCCTGTGAACAACCAGTCTGTAACGATAGGCCTTTTTTTTTTATTTTTTTTTTACAAACCTTTTGTACACAAAACATCATTTCGAGATAACTTGCAGTTTAGTAAGTAAATCAGATATTGATTCAGTTACCGCTCTGAGCACTCAGTGACTTCATTGAGGGAGCAATTCGTCAGACTGATTCAAACCATTAAAATAACCTGCTCATAAGAGTCATTTGCTTGTGAATCAGTTGCACTATATATATATATATTTTTTTTTTTTTGCTTGCTGCGCTTCTTTCTTTTGGCCTATTTTACTTTACACTTTTCTCTTTTAACATTCACTTCAGACTGCAAGCTCATTTTGCTGTGTGCTGTAGATTAAACAGTTAGGTGCTTCACACTCCAGTGCATCAGTTATTGCTTTAAAAGAATCAGTGTAATTCACTACTAATGTGATTATTTGGAATTGTAGGCATCTAAATAAAGTTGACTTGATATTTTAGGATAAATGAGTTAGAACTGCAGGTCAAGTAACCAACAAATGCACTTAGAAAATTTTTTTTAAGGGTTTGTTGCAACTGTTTTAATACAGTGCTACACAACGCAACAGACTTGACTTTTTTGAATCACATAATTTTTTGTCTACATATTTTAACTAGCTGAATTCATGTACCTTGTTTTTCGGCACTGGTGATGAACAGGACTGTGAGCAGCAGCAGAAGGAGATAGAGTGGATGGAAGAATCTCATGGTGATGCTGCGTGAGGTTTGGTCCGCTGCGCAGACCCGAGTGTCCTCAGATGTCTCCGGGTTCTCCGAAAGCAAAGTCTGTGAATATGCAGGTAACGTACAAATCCTGTTATGTGTCTTTCGTTCTCAGTAATTTTTCATCTGAGCTCGTATAAGATGCCGTTATAGTGGATGTGCAGCTCAAATCAGTTCTCAAACTTTTCCAAAGTTTTAGATGGCGATATTCACTCTCCCTTCTCTCTTCTCTCTCCCCAGAGGGATGGATAGATAGACAGATGACCTGATGAGTGTGAATGTCCAGTCGAGACAATGTAGCTTCACCCCCTCTTTATACAGACAAGAGAAAGGGGGAGGAGAGGGCACAACAGAAGGAGTGGTATGGAAGACTAAAAACTGGGTGGGGACATGGGACATCTCTCT